AGCTTGGAAATTGGCGATTGGAAAGAAAATTATACAATTCCAGATATTGCAATAATGAAAGGTATTCGTAATGCACTTGTCGATCTACGTGAATTTCAAATTCATGGAACTTGTTATATGGCTTCCGCTGAAGCATTAGACAACATTTCAAACATTTTAACTATAATGTCCCATTTTTCGAGTAATATTCATTCCATGAATATTGATTGCTGTCATCGAGATTTTCGATTAGGTAAAAGATTATGTTCGTTAATCGAATCTCAATCACATCTTCAAAATTTATTGATCGAAGATTCTAGTTGGAATTCAACTTTAACACAAAGTCTTAATTCTGTTTTTTCATGTCAATTTTGTCACTTAAAGAACGTTACTATCTCTGGTTTACCTCTTGATAATTCATTTCTGACAAATTTAACAAATTGCACGAAACTGGAATCGTTGAATATCTATCATTGTCGTAATCTAAAATCCATTGATTCTCTGTCTCATGAAGTCAAGCAATCATGTAATCTTCCTCTATCAAAATTAGCTTGTTTACATAATTCAATTGATTCACTATTTATTTTTGAAATCTTTGAGATGTCAAAATCTAATCTATCTAGATTGATCTTGGATAATGTTGATTCAAATATGATTCAATACGTGAGCAATTATTGTAAAAATATTGAATATTTGGCTATTAATATTAATTCAGAGATTATTAAAACAATTTGTCTATTAACAAATCTTAATATCAAACATTTTGTTTTTTATTCTCGTCCAACTTCTACCATTACACCTTCCACTGATTTATTAAAATTTTTTGGTTTATCATTACCTCCGAGTTTAGATTCACTTGATTTAGATTTTAATATTACTACTGATGGTTTAAATGAAATTTTAAACTTTACTCAAGCTAGAATTAAAAGTTTAGGTTTAAAATTACCTCGACCTTTTGATAATGTTGGAATTAATGATGAATTTTTAAATATTATTCTTAAGCATTCGATGTCTAATGGTGGAATTTTAAAAGAATTAAGAATAGATAGGGGAAGGGAATTTTTGGTCAATAAGCATTTTTCAAAAGAGATGTTGGCAAAAGCAAAAGGTATATTGAAAATTATTCCTGAGTTTGATATTCCTTGGAATACTTTTTAAAAACAACATTGCTACTAAACTTTATGAATTAGATCTTAATGTTTTTTTTTTCATCATACATCTTATTAAACTATAGCTAGAGCATACAATATTAATTTGGTTTATATAGTGGGTTTGAGTCGTTTTATTTTTCATATTATTTTTTAAAAAAAAAAATTTTTAAAACCGATTATAACATATAAAAATAAAACTGGGTTCAAACTCTAGACCCATATTAGATTTCACATTTAGATTTCATCATCCGGGTATTACCATTTTTTAGATTTTATAATAAATTTTAATTTGTTTCGCTTTTCATGAAATTAAATATATTCATAAATCTTTCATGCGATATATAAAAATCTAGTGCGATTTATCTTAGTTCTACAGTATTCTAATAGTAATAATAGTATATCAATAAATTTAAATAAATTCTAAATATAATACACTCATAATAAAGATTCCGATTACACTATAGTAACTCATTACTACGATTTTAAAATCCACAAAAAATATATGTATACTAGCAGGGGATTTACATAAATATGAACAAAAATTATTTACACTGAAGAATCAATAATAAGAAACGCACATATAATTTCATTTTCTATATATATTACGTTCGATTGAACAGTTAATAGATGATTATCGCCTTGCAAGATTTACAGTAGCCCAAAATTTCGGCATTAGCTGCGATAGTTGTTAAAATCAAGTAATGACTTTTAATGCCAATGTTATTTGTTCCAGTAACTTGATGTTAAAAGCTATTTCTTCTGGATCTGCTTCAATTTAAGCTTCAAAAATACAAAAATTTATTAACTTACTGTTCGAGCCTATTCAAAAGATTTCCTGACCTTCAATTCGAAGATTCGTACCTTTTATTGCAGTTTGCAAAAGGATGTGACCTCTGCAGATCATGATGTAAAATCACAGCGATTTTCCGATTTTAAGAGAATTTTATAAATTTCAACGAATATAAAGATATGTTAGAAATAAATAGACAATCTCGAATCTCCAAAATTTTCATCGATCATCATCACAAATAATGGGCCAAACTTTTGCAAAGAGCAATAATATAGATTACTTTTTCGTGTAGTTGAATCAATTAATTGTGGATTAATTAAAGTTTTCAAGAAAAATATGCCGACGTAATTCTAATGATTCTAGAACTATATATGTGTGTTATAATTGAAGATTCAAAATTACATAAAGTATTAGGCAAACACGCAATAAAATTGAATTAAATGTGCTGTAATAGTAACTGATTTCTAATGAACTTCATCCAATAAACCTTCATTTTCCTTACAAAATCATTATATCAAAATCCGAATATTAATTACGGCAATCATTGGAACGATTCTACCGCATCCACACCTAAAATCTAACCTTCACCCTAAATAATTCCAAGTCAACTTAAATTTCATTTCCACTTACAGCATTAATATTATTATATATTTCATAGAAACCAATGCCGCAATACTATATAACAAAGTTACGTGATTCATTTGAGTCTCGTCACTAAGCCACCTTCAATTACCTTTTAGTATAATTAACTAGCCTGTAAATTATTTATCTATGAAATAAGCTGTCTACGGCTGTAACTACCGGGTTGGTGAAAAGCAGGGACGTGGGGATTCTGTGATTTACGGGAAGATTAAGGAATCATTATTTATAAAGTTTATAAATAATGATTC